GACTGTGATAGGTAGGTTTATTATGCCAACTTGGCCAATTTGAACATGTGGGATTAATAAGGTCACAGTTTGATTGGAGGGCAAAGAGATAAATGGCTTGGCAAAGCCCACCCCTTTCTCTCATGCTCTCTGATGATTGGACCAGCATGCAGCTGTCTTAGCTAGTTCCCTGTCTCAACTTGTGAGCTACACTACCTGTTGGACAGCCAACCCATGGAACTGGTTGCTAGACCTTGAGGCTCTTTCAAGGCCTGCCTCCCCACACTGCTGGTTTATACATGGCTTGAGCTTGAGGCTGGCAGAGCCTGTTGTCTTGCATTGCTTGAGTTTGATATCCCATCTGGGCCTGCTTTGCTAAGCTCCTGAGCTGCTGACTGTTGGTAACCTATCCTGCTGTTCGCTGCCTGTGCCCAGACTGCCTGCATTGCTCTAAAGAAGACTCATCTGTCTGCTTCCTTGGTCTTAGACCCAGCAGCCCTTGCGAATTGAAGGACTTCCAGTGTATTAACTGTTCCATGGAAGTGAGTTGAACTGAGCCCTCTGTATACGGTGTGGACTAATTAGCTGTTATATCCCTTCATGCTGTCTATATCTATCTCTATATCTATAATCATAAGTGTCCTGGTTCTGTTTCTGTAGAGAACCTGGTCTAGCACACTGAACAACTTGTCAAATGGAACCCAACTTGCTCTAGTCACTCGAACTCAGAACACAATGAAATACGATTAAAAACACCACGCCCAACAAAACACTGGAATATTTACTATCCGCCTCCCTTACCTCATACAAAACCCACCCCAACCCACTGCCATTGTGTTGAGTCCAATGCAGAGTGACCCCACAGGACAGAGAGAACTGCAATGTAGGGCTCCCATAGCCTTGTACCTTTGTAGAAGCAGACTGCTAGTGGTTTTTGTTTTGCTTTGTTTTTATATTTTTTAACATTTTATTGAGAGCTCTTACACATATTATTATAATCCATTAGATCAGGCGTAGTTGTACAATTGTTGCCATCATCATTTGCAATCCATTTTGGTGGTGGTTTTAAAGCACCAATAGAGCACTTCATCACTGGTCCATCTGGGCTCCCATTTAACTCACTTGGCCGTTAATTTGGACTGTGCCACTATGAGTACAATTAATGGGCAATGATACTGGAAATTGCAATGCTTTTTTGCATAAGGACTATGTCACCATATGCATAAAATCATATTTTTGCTTTAATGACATGGTTAAGCTATCTAGTTAAAATTTTAATAAACATGTACTCTTGTCCAACCTCACCCCCAGTTGACCCTATTGATCTTCCTTAAGTCACGATATTACCTCCTCACCTTTGCACTTGGTCATTTCCTTTGACTTTATAATTTTGACTCTACCAAAGGTGCACCCCCTCACAGATTATTGTTCACTCTTTAGTCCTGCTTGATGTTACACATTATTCTTATCACTATTTGATTTAAACAAAGAGATGACAGAAACATGACTTTCCAGTGATAGTCAAGATGGGACTGGTGTCTGGATTTCCAGACTTCTGGCCTTTGGTCTCTAAAACCAATAGCATGTTTCAGACTGTAAGTATGCTTGATTTGACTTTACCTGTCTTTTCGAAGAAAATTAATTTTTCTAAGAGGATACCTTTTGTGGGCATGTGGCTTCCCTACTTACATTTCCTGATTTGTAAAATAAATATGGCACCATGGAATCTATCAAATGGATGCCCAGAAAAAGAGCCGGATGGAATCCTGAAGAACCTGGATTCTACCAAATGGAGGATAATGCCCATAGCTTGTGATGGAGGGCTCATAACGGTGTAGCGAGTTGCTGCCGTTCTCTCCTCTGCCTCCTATTTTCTGTGGCTGCCTCTTTCTGGCCGCATACTGAGACCAGCAGTCAGAGCAGGTCACAGAAGGATCCAGAAATTCAAGATGAGGTATTTGTGCCAGTAAATAAAAGGAATTATCCTTCATCTAAGACTCATTGTTTAAATTACCATGTTTATTTATGTCAACACAAAATACAATAAGATGACTTACAAAACTCCCACTTTGTCTTCATGTAACATAACTCTTCAGTGAACAGAAGTCCTCCTGTGACTGTTTGCCCTGGTCAAGGTCCAGCCTTGGGTCAAAACAGTATTCTGAGAAATAGCAGAACCTTCCTATCCTCCCCTAGAACACACACACACAAAGGAAATTTACCGTTTCCAAAATCCCATCCCAGTAACAATGCAAAAATATCACAAATACATCTCGTGTCAAGGTGAACACTCCTGCTGTGTCGTCAGTGTTGGAGCTTGCATGGTGCTCTGGATTCTCCCTGGACTCCGAGCCTCAGTCGGGAACTCGAAGGTACATCATCCTGCAGGTTTCTTACGCGATTGGCTAGTAATGCTTCTAATACAGCAGCGTATTCCCCAAAGGTTTGATTTACCTGAGTTATTCAGAGACCAGACAACAATGAAAAACAAAAACAGGAAGTCTCCCAGTGATCAAAAGTATAGAGATCTCTTGGGTATAAGAATTCCATGAAATGATCATAGCCTATTCGATGACAATTCAGTGGGTAAACATGCAGCCTTCATTATCTAGTGAACAATGCCCCTAATAAAAGGCTCCATACAATTTATCCAAAGGTCATGATTGCATGATCTTTTCATTGCATGAAAGTACACTCTCTCACCTGGATATCAGTAGTTCGTTTCCTGGAAGTACATTTTCAAAGACTTGGTATTTATCATTTAATACCAAGCTTTTTCATTATTCCACTTAACAAAAAAATTAAATTAAATTAAAAAAATTTTTAAAAAATTCCATTTCCAAAAAAAGAGAAGATGTTTTAGAGTTAGAAGATTTAGATCCTGGACCCTTTTATTCTACTACTGACACTCTGAGTCTTGGTTTTCTTCTCTGTAAAGTGGGGCTGACATTTTCCTGGACTCTCATCACAATTAAGAGCATCAAATGAGATGAAAGTGCTTTGTAAACTAGTTTAGCTAGAAAAAATTGTAGCATTCAATAGTTAGTCTCTTCAAGTAATTTATAGATACCTAATTATCTGTATCTTTTGCAAGTACAATTTTACTTTTTAAAGCAAATGTCTGGTACAAGTTGATTTACACAGATGAGAAAAGAACATATCTGGGAAGGCCTGTGACTCATGAAGGACTCGATATTCAATGCACTTCCTTTGAAATGACTTAAAATTTGATTCTAATCTTTAACTTATGTGTTGGGTGTCTTAGTAAAGTATTAAACCACTAAATTTATGTTGTTTTTTTAAAAAATCATATGTTGATTACAGGGTGATTGTAAAGTTGAGTAAAATGGATTGAGAAACTTGAGAGAAATCATTTGAAAACTCAGGGTCATGAGGAAAACTGAATGTATAGGCTTACTTCTCAGGCAATTGAAAATAAAATTAAAAGACAGGCTTGTTATTTTTGTTTTAACCTAGAAACTCCCTAACTTATACATTATTTCTTCTTCATCTGGAAAACTGGTAGACCTTTGTGCACTTCATTTTTTTCTGTGCTTGTATATACAACTTTACAAAAATTATTAACTTCCAATTTTCATTTTACATTTGGAGTGCCTTTATAAGAATTACTTCTCTCAGTTGAAATAAAACCATAGTTTTGTTTCCTACAGATTAAAAAAAATCTTTCTTTAGGAAAAGGTAGCTTTACTAAACATTTAGAATTAGTTGGCAAGTCTGGGTATACCAAGTGAACAATGGACTTTGTAACTTTGCTGAGACAGAGAATTCAGGTAGCGGTGTTCTCATTTCAAACATTTTTCAAATCAAAGACATGCCCCCATGGATGATTTGTGGAAGCAGCAATGCACCAGTTAGTATTCCTAAAATGCTCCCCAAAGTCTCTGCTTTGCTAAGGATCTGTCTCTTCTAGAATATTTTGAACCTGTTAACATAGTCTCTATCTTTCATACAGAGAGCGAGTGATCTCCAAATGACCTATTATTAACTTAAACCAACCTCGTTTCAAAGGAACAAAGCAAGAAAAAGTTAAATAGTGCATTAATATTTCCTATCAGTGAGACAGACGTTTCATGTGCATGAAATAGGCCTACCCATCTGTGAAAAGGTCCACCTTTTGCCTTTCTCTGTGTTTATAGGTCACATTTTTAAAGGTACTGGTGGAGCCTCTGTACAGTGGATTGGTTCCCTAAAAAACAAACAAACAAACAAAACAGTCAAGCAAAAGTCTGTACATTTTTGTTATAGTATTTCCATATCTCTAAAAAATTTCATGGTATATTGCAATTTGGAAAGGACAGTCAAGCTTGATATTGGAATCCATTTGAATAATTATCATTAATTTGACAATGTATACTTTTAACATTTTAACATATATACCTCTTCGTTTTATTTTGAAATATGCAGACCCAGTCCTATATCTGCATTCCCCAAACCTTCCCAATTTTGGAAATGTGTAGATTTGTAGATAATAAAAATGAAACTTTGGCTGTTTGACTCAATAGTGTTGCACCAGTGTGGACAACAGTACCTAGTTGGTAGTAGATGCTCAATATTTTTTAAATGAGTAGAGTGAACACTGGTAAGGCAACCCAAAAGGAAGGGAAATAATGGAAGATGTGGATGGAACTGGAAATCGGTAGAAGCATGCTGAGATACAGTATCTGCCTTTAGGAATGTGTCCCTGGCAAGAGAAAGCCAGGCACAGATAATCTTACTTTTAAAATGAGATCAAAGCTGAGAAACAAACTAGCTGTTTATGGGAAATAAAGAAAAGGTTCCCAGGGCAGCTCACATTTGCTCTGGAGAGTACAAAAAAGGATTTGCTTTTGCTTAATGGAGGATGACATTGTGCAAAACAGAGAGTTGCCAGAGATTGGTTCATGTAGGAGTGTAAGTTCCAAGGCAGGTCAGGCAAGATGATTGTGCCTGATCTTTTCAGTCCGTCCTCAACGCCAGAACACTTTGTTCTAATAACATGACATTCTGTGATGCTCACCTTCCTGACACGATTACTGAAGACAAAATGGGTGCATAAGCAAATGTGGTGAAGAAAATGGATGGTGCCCAGCTATCAAATGATATAGCATCTGGGGTCTTAAAGGCTTGAAGTTAAACAAGCAGCCATCCAGCAGGGAAGCAACTAAGCCATGAAAGAAGCACACCACCACGTGTGTGTTTCGATGGGATCAGGTATCAGGTATCAAAAGATCCAAAATGAACAATTATATTGGTGCAAATGAGGGGGGTTGGAGGGGAGACCCAAAGCCCACCTGTAGACAATTAAACATTCCCTCACAGAAGGGTCACAGGAAAGGGACCAGTCGGCCAGGGTGCAGTATAGCACTGACATAACCCACAACATTCTTCTAGTTCTTTAGTGCTCCCCCGCCCCCACTATCATGACCTCAGTTTTACCATACAAATCCTGCTAGACTGGATGGAGTATATACATTGGTACTGATAAGTGCTCTTGACGCATGGAATCCAGGACAGATAGCCCCTTCAGGAACAGCAGTGGGAGTAGCGATACCATGAGGATAGGGAGCTGGGGTGGGGAGGGTGTGGAGGAGAAAGGGAGAACAGATCACAGGTTGGATATATTAAACACCCCTACGCCACCCCTGCCTAGGAGGATGAATAATAGAAATGTGGGTGAAGGGAGATAACGGACAGTGTAAGGTATGAAATAACAATAATAATATTAAATTGATCAAGGGCTCATGAGGGTGGCAGGGTGGGGGAGGGATGGGGAAAAAAAGGAGCTGATACCAAGGGCTTGAGGTAGTTAGTTTATTGTGCCAACCTGGCTGATAAACACATGTGGGGTTAATTGAAGGGTGGAGAGATAAATGGTTCGGTGAGCCTTGCCTTTCTAGTTCTTGGCTCTCTTGCTTTCTGATGCTCAGACCAGGGTGAAGCTGCCTTAGCCAGTTCCCTGTTTTAGCTGGCAAGGCTCATTTCCTGCAAGACATCCCTGAGGAGAAGCCACATGGACCTACCCCGATACACCCCTGGGTGCTGGAGCACCGGTGTGGAGATCCCTGCCAGCCTGAGATGTTTACACATTCACTGACTCGACTTTCCTCCTGCAGCTGGTGTCATTGTGTCTGTTTTGTGAGATGAGGAGGACTTTGTGGACTGGTGTTGGACATATGGGTTAATGAGTTAATGTTGGACCTTGGGCTTGGGCAGCACTGGGTTAGGATGTTTTCTTGATGTGCACTTAATCTTTATATAAAACTCTCTCTTATACATGAGTTTCTGTGGATTTGTTTCTCTAAAGTACCCAGACTAACACAGGCTCAAGTAGAAAGAAAATGGTTTGGAAATGATAATGGCAACACAAGTACAAGTGTGCTTGATACAATTGGATTATGGATTGTTATGAGATCTGTAAGCACTCCCAATAAAATGACTATTATAGTAAAAAAACAACAAGATTGTGCCTGGGTGCAAAAGGGGAGTTAGTGGCTCTCAACCTTCCTAATGCTGTGACCCTTAAATATAGCTCCTTCTGTCGTGGTGACCCCCCAACATGGGGATTTCATGTGTGTCGGAGTAAAATGATACTGTACAGGGTTTTCAAGGTGCCTCTCAGTAAGCTTCCTACTATGCTAGTCATTCCCTCTACCCACAGACTCCCCGTGTCCGCCCACAGAGAATTATAAACATATTTCCTCCCACGGCTTCAGTGCTCTCAGTTCCTGAACCCATTGAAGAGCACCAGTCTGAGTTCCACCTCTGACCTCTACGTTCCTAAATGTTATACTTCGGTTTCTGATGAACACAGATTAGAAAGTTAGTAGCCATTTATAAGCATAGATAATGGAGACAAATGATTGCTTTCGTTTTCTCCGTATGTTCTCTCAGTTCTCATAAGAAACGAAACCGTGGAATGGATCCCTTCCCTGTCACTGCCCTTGGGTCCTCTGCAGTGTCTTCGCGTGAGCCGGGACTCACACCCGCACCCGTCGCCGTGTTGCCGGGAACCACCGACCTGACCTCTGACCAAGTGACATGTGGCTTCATTCCTGCGCCTTGGGGGAGAGATGGGTGCCTCTGTAAAGAGGGCAAATGGGAAAGGTTCACTGGCTGATGTTGGATGGTCGATTAAGACCAAGTCACCATATTGCTTTTACTGAGAAATCAGCCTGGATAATCTGTGGAAGCTGCAGACTTTCTTCAGCTTGGCTCTTGTAAGGGAGCCTGCTGGCGCCTCAAGCAGTGGATTGCTAATCACAGTCCACTGGATGGCAGGGGGTTGGGGTGGTTAAGAACTCAGTTGAGCTCAATTTGGAGGGGAAAGAGAAGACTCAAGTGGTCTTCCCCAAGAGCAATGGCTTGGAGGAAAGGTTTTACCAACGAAAATCACGCCTGGAATTCTGTGTCACTTAAGACTGGAGACTTCCATTGATAACAGGAGAGCCCCCAGGAGAGGAAGGAAGGGCAATGCAAAGGGCACAGGCAGGTGACGGTAAATGGAGGATGGGAGAGCTGTACTGAGCAAGACACTGAGCCAGGCCCGCTTAGGGTGACGTAGGTCTGTCTGGTAGCCTTCACCCCATACCATGTCAAACACAGTAAAATGCACCACATCCCACACTAAATACCAGCTATCCACACTAGATGGAGGGAATTGTTTGAATGACAGTATTACTTTGTACACGTTTAATTGAACGTATCATTTTGATTTTTCAGTTTTCATTTTGCATTTAGGAGCAACTTCCTTTACTCAGCCCTATAATATTCTGCGAGTCCCTTGTAAAGGCCCGGGACAGGGCCTAGGCGGTGCCTCCGGTGAGTGGAAGATGGGGGACAATGAAGTGGACCCTGTGGGAGGGTCTGATGAAAATGTAGAACAAGTACACATTGCTGATCGGGGATGGGCGAGGGGGAGGAACAAGGAACTTTTTAGAAGGTGTCGGGTTGCGAACCTAAGGAGTAGCCCTTTGAACCCCACAGTGGCTCCGTAAGAGAAAGATGAGGCTTTGTGCTCACATCAAGCTGTCTAGCGAGGGCAGCCCCAGGCCTCCTTCCTCTGCTCCCTGCAGGGCTTGCTCTGAGGCAGAACCGACTTGATGGCAATGAGTTCGGTGTGGTTCGGTTCTAAAAGGAATACCTTTTTAGGAAAGTGAGCTGAACTTGTGTTAGTATAGAAATGTCCGGCACCACCTCCTGTCCGGCCAGGCCGCGGGCGCGGTAGAATTCCCCGCTGAAACACCAAGTCGGGTTCGGCTCAGACAAGGTCTGTTTTCTCTCTCTTGCACAGGGGTGACCAGGCTGAGGACCCCAGGAGTCTGGAGGGGGTGATAATTTAGGCTGTGGCTTCAGGAAATGCAATGGCACATTTTCTCGGGCATAAAAAGTGGTAATGCGAGAACTCTCCATCATGACCCAGACCTCCTTTAATGATGGCCTCACGGCCGAGCGCAGGCGTGCTTGGCCTGGCACAGGACAAAACCAGTCCAGGGCTGAGAGATGCGAGGGTGAAGGTTTTCTTGCCTCTAGTTACTGACTTGTGTTATCCTAGGGTAGGTGGAGCGGGGGAAGTGCATTCAAAGATGAATTTAAATGTCTTCCCTTTGTCTTTTCATAAAGAATGGGGAGGGGGAGGGGTTTCGTTTGGAAACGGGAAGAAAAGGCAACCTTTCTTCCGTGAGACAGTGAAACGTTCCTGAAGGCAAGCACAAGAAGCTACCTTGCCCTAAGCCTGGTTGTCCAGTGGGGCAGCTAGAGGGGGCAGCAGATCTGACCTGTCTGGTCAGCCCTGCAATCCTCTGGGTTGGGAAGATCAGTCAAATTTGCCTCTTGAAGAAGAAATAGGGTTTAGATAAAGATGGACTTTAATTGAAGACACCCCCCACTAAAGGGGGTACTTGATCAACACCCCCTGCCCCAAGGAAAATATATTAGAGACATTTGAATTGAATTATTTGAATTAGACCTCTTTTGCATCCAAGTGAGTAATTATTTCCCAGTCATTATCTAGTCAAGAACATCAAACAATTGTTATTCAAAGAAACTCAGTTTAACCAGGGAATAATATTTTTTTTCATTTATGCTTTTATCTCTTTAATGCATGTTTGGGTCCCATTTTAGATGAAGCAACTGCAAAAAAATCAGCATTTGAATTTCAGTCATGTTCTACATCCTAAGGGAGAACAATTCATGTTTGCGGGAAATTAACTGTTAATTAAAATGTTATTTTAAAGATATTAATCATTTGTCAGTACTTATGCCTTTGTAGGAGAACATTAAAATGTGCTGGTTAGTAGATACACATCATATAATTTTTCAAGTGCTTGTCTCCCGGACACCTGCTTATTATGTCTAGGCGGGTCCATCAAAAGCTGGGCCTGGTAGAGCAGATCGCAATTCGAGTTCTGGCTCCGCTAAGCAGGACTAGTCTGGGAACCCCTGCCCCTCAGCCTCGGTTTCCTTACTATCCAAATGGAAATATTAAGGCTTCCTCCTAGGGCTGCTGGTTGTTAATCTGATCGCTGCCACTAGTGTGTGTGTGTGTGTGTATGCAAATTGACCACTGTCTTTCATCTGGTTTCCCTTTGGCTGTGGCCAGGCCTTCTTTTTTTTTTTTTTTTAAACATTTTATTAGGGGCTCATACAACTGTTATCGCAATCCATACACACATCAATTGTGTAAAGCGCATTTGTACATCATTCTCAAAACATTTTCTCTCCACTTAAACCCCCGACATTAGGTCCTCATTTTCCCCCTCCCTCCCCGCTCCCCCCTCCCGCATGAGCCCTTGATAGTTTATAAATGGGTATTTTGTCATAGCTTGCCCTGTCCGACGTCTCCCTTCACCCACTTTTCGGTTGTCTGTCCCCCAGGGAGGAGGTCACACACAGTTCCATGTAATCGGTTCCCTCCTTCCTACCCATTCTCCCTTTACCCTCCCTGTTTTGCCACTCACACCACTGGTCCTGCAGGGCTCATCCGCCCTGGATTCCCTGTATTTTCAGTTCCCATCTGTACCAGTGTACATCCTCTGGTCTAGCCAGACTTGCAAGGTCGAATTCGAGTCATGGTAGTGGGAGCAGGGAGGAAACATTTAGGAACTAGAGGAAAGTTGTATTTCTCATTGTTGTTACATCGCACCCTTACTGGCTCGTCTCCTCCCTGAGACCTCTCTGCAAGGGGATCTCCAGTGACCTACTAATGGGCTTTGGATCTCCACTCCGCACTCCCCTCATCATTCACTATGGTAAGATTTTTTGTTCTGATGATCAGGCCTTCTTTTAATGATTGTCGATAGATACTATTTGTTGTCAGGTGAAGTTGACTGCCCAGCGGCTTTGGTGTCATTAATGTGACCTCCTACGTCACCAAGCTAACCCTTCATTCAGCCCCTGCCATTGAGTTGATTCTGACTTCTACACTACAGAGCATAGTAGAACGGCCCCTGAGGGTTTCTGAGACTACAAATCATTACTGGAGGCAGAAAGCCTCATTTTTCTCCATCAGGGCAGCTGGTGGTTTTGAACTGCTGATCTTGTGAATAGCATCTCCATGACAAATCTATTATACCACGAGGGCTTCTCTTTGTATTGTTAGGGATGGATAAATTACATGAAGGGGCATCCAAAAAGTTCGTGGGAAAATCCCATTATCTTTCAATTCCATTTCTTCCATAAACTTCGTGAAAGTGCATTGTAAAAATCAAAATGTACTTTCCTAAAGAAGTTTGCTTAATTAGGAAAAATGACACAAACACACACAAAATTATTATAATAAACATCCATAAACTGATCACCCAGATGCACCAGTTAGATTTTGCTGTGTTTGTTTCAATTATCTCTCCCTCTCCCTCTCTCCCCTTCTCTTTCTTTTGGCCAAAGTATTTTAAAGCCAACCATAGCTTTCAGTATGTTTCCCTAAAAGCCATGGGCATATTTTTTAAAAATCATGATGCCATCATTATCATTTTAAGTAAAGTTAATCATAATTTCTTGCTAGCTTTCAAATGCCTAATGGAGTCCCCAATTGCCTAAAAAATAAAGCTCTGTAGTTAGACTGTTCAAACAAGACCCACACAAAAGCTGCACATTACATTTGGTTATTAGATGTACAGGCAGGACTGATGGGAAGATAAAGCAGGCAAAATATTTTCTTTGGCCTACACCAAGTACATTATGATTAATTTGAAAAAAACTACATGAAATATAAACCTTCTTTATCAAGATAAATTTACCCAAAACAGAAAATTCCATTTGCTTTAGGAATTGGAGATATCCCAATAGACTTTGGGTGGGGGTGGGAGGGGGATGACCAAAAATGTTAGCTTCAATTCATCTGGACAGGGGAACTCAAAGACGCATTATGTCTGTCCAGATTTTCCAACGATATCCCTCTTTTTAGAATCAACAATGTAAGATAATTGCTATTAGATAGCTGGACACACCATTAGAGATAGAAAGATGAAATTAAAACCATGAAATTGCTTCTATGAGTCTCTAGAAATGTAATTATCTCTTCAGTGGAAGGGAAACACAGCAAATTGGAGTCCTGTTTTGTGTTTGCCTACTGTGAAGAGGAGACATTTAAATTATATTTATGGAGCGCATCTCTCTAAAGGTTGATGTGTCTGTTGTTTGTTTGTTTGTTTTCCAGGCAGCTGTTTAAAATTTATGCTATTCTGAAAAACTACCGGATGGTAGTTTAACAGTATTTTGAGCTTTATTTTGTAGCCTATTATGAATAAGGAGTAGTTCCATGGAAATTGGCATGAGCGGTCATACTACTGGTGAACATCATTCCATTCGCTGTGGCATAATGGTTTGGGGTAATGTTCAGATACAGCACCCATGCTTTACCAAATGGGACTTGATGATGTCCTCGAATTTATGGTGTGGACCAAAAACCCAAACCCAAACACACTGCCAAGGACTCAGTGCGGACTCACAGAGACCCTCTCGGACAGGGTAGAACTGCCATGGTGAGTTTACTCTTCAAGGGAGTGATTGTCATCTTTCTCCTCAATAGTGACTGGCGGTTTCCAACTGCTGACCTTGAATTAGCAGCTCAACGCATAACCCACTACCTCCCCAGGGCCAGAAGCACTGATACAATATGGTCCCTTGATGTCCCTAAGGAGCTAACTCATGCCTTTTCATGAGTCTCTCCACAAACGGTGATCAGTTCAGTTCTCACCCACGGCAACTTTGTGTGCTGCACTGTAGCACTGCATTCTATGGGGCGCTCATGGCTGTGCCCTTCAGAAATAGATTGCCAGGGTTTTCTTCTGAGGTGCCTCCAAGGGTGTTGGAGCTGTCAGCTTATTGATGAGCAGGTGAGCATTTAATTGTTTAACTACCACCCAGGGACTCCTTCAACGCGCCAGAGCAGTGGTCCTCAACCTGTGGGTCGTGACCCCTTTGGGGGTCGAACAACCCTTTCACAGGGGTCACCTGATTCAAAACAGTAACAAAATGACAGTGATGAAGTAGCAACGAAAATAATTTTATGGTTGGGAGGTCGCCACAACATGAGGCACTGTATGAAAGGGTTGTGGCATTAGGAAGGTGGAGAACCTCTGCTCCGGAGTGCTGCGCATCCCCATCGATATGAGAGACAAAGGCATGCTATCAAAGTCATCTGGGTCTCTAATAACAGACAGAGGCAGCTGTGCCCCCAAAGCACAACCAAGATCCCAATGGTGGGGGACCTGGTGAGTGGGAGACAGAAAGAACAAAGCTTTCTCTCTTTTAGGAGAGAAAAAGTCGAGTCTCCAATCTCTTCCCTGAAGTCCGTTCTCCCCTAGACCAGGAAGCATCCCCAAGTGTTCACCTACCGTCTGCCACTTGGCCTTTGATCGTTCTGCCTCAAATTTGGCTACTTCTTTCCGATCATGAAGTGACACCAGCAGCTTCCAAATGCACAGTAGGACAATCCCAATGAGAAGAATAGCCAGGGAAACCCCCAGCATGATCATGGGGATGTTGGGAGGTTCTGGACAATCTGTGGAAACAAAGGAGATATGGTAACAAGGCAATACAATTGGTGCTTGGACATAGAGAAATGATTCTCAATACATTTCCCACTGAAAGAAAATATGGATGTCTTCTTGTGCTGAATTTTAAAAAAATGAGTTAGTTGTCAAAAGATATCCCTGTTGTTAGTTGCTATTGAGTCTATTCTGACTCATGGTGACACCGGGCAAGCAAAGCATAATTGGTGACTCCATAACATGTCAAGGCTGTGATCTTTTGGAAGTAGATGGGCAGACCTGTATCTGATGTGCCTCTTGGATTTGAAATGCCAATCTTTCGGCTACTAGTGGAGACTCACCTATTGGAGCCCACCCAGGGAGCCTGGGTGGGTAAGGGTTAAAGGTTGGGCCGCTGACCACAAGGTCAGCAGTTTGAAATGACCAACCACTCTGCTCCCGTGAAGATGGGGCAGTTCTACCCTATCCTCCTCAGTCACTATGAATTAGCATCAACAGGATGGCAGTGAGATAAGGGCTATCCTATCTGCTTCAACGCTGAGCAAGAGCTTAAGAAAGACGTTAACTGTGCAAAATCAACAGAGGTTTACTTGGTGATTGATTAAAAAAAGATGTTTAATCCAATAGTGACAATTGATGCACATGTGATATTTAAAGGAACATGAAAAAAAAGTTCAATCACTTTAGATGGTCTCTTCCAGATCCAGGAGAAATAGAATGTGTGTATTTTGGTGTAATTCATGTTTCATGGATTCTCTTGATTCATAAGCAATATAAAAGATTATATTAAACATTAAATATAACTCACTCTGAGAACAGAATACCCTTTGTCTGTTTCACTTATCTGACAGCCAAAAGCAATCACAACGTTTTGTTTGGGCTATTCAAGTTGATTCGGACTCACAGAGATCCTACGTGACAAGGCTAGAGCTGGCACGCAGGGTTTTCTTGGCTGGAGTCTTTGTGGGAGTAGATTGACAGGCCTTTCTCCCACGGAGGCACGTGGTGGACTCAAGCTGCTAATGTTTCAGTTAGCAGGCAAGCTCCAGGCCCTCGGAAAGTTCTAGATAGTACTCAGTGTTCAATTCCTACTGGACTTAGAGTTCCTGAATTCCGATAGTCCCCAAACCAAACCAAACTCACTGCCATTGAGAGCATTCTGGCTCCTAGCGACTCTATAGGACAGAGTAGAACTGCTCCTTTGGGTTTCTGAGATTTTAAATCTTTACAGGAGTGGCAGCCTCGTCTTTCTCCTAGGGAGAAGCTGGTGGGCTTGAACTGCTGATGTAATGGTCAGTAGCTCAGTATGTAGGCCGTTACCCTACCAGGGTTGTAGAAAGCCTTAATCTTGCTTCTGTGGAGCTGACTGTGACTTTGAACTGCTGGTTTTGTGGTTAGCAGTCCAACACATAACCCGCTACACCATGAGGGATCCTCTCTCTGAGCCCAGTATGCTCACTTATAAAACATAGGTGTGGGGCGGATTGCAGTGGTTCCTTAGCCTCTCCAATGATGAGACACTGAGGTCCTTATGTGTATCACACTACCTCTTCCTAGGTTCGTCCCTTGGACATTCTGATCTAATGGGCCTTAGGTAGGGCCACAAATTTTATTATTGTTATTATTATTAAAGATGGCCTAGGTGATTCTTATCTTCAAAGAAGTCTAGGAAATTAGATGTTCTCTATGGTCCTTTCAATATTCTAAGATACGTTATTTTGACTCTATTGATGGTATTAATATAATTTTGCAATTATACAGTGCCTTCTCTCATTGACAGCCAAATGACTAATAATCCCTGCAATATGCCTAGGGATGATACATTTCTTAATGAAACATTATAATTAAGCTCTCTGCTTACATTAAAAAAACTCACATAAAATTATCATTAAATATCTGCATCCCTCTGCAAGAAGCGAGACAAAATTCACGGTATCTGGGGAGGAAATGAGTCATGCTTAGTTTATCCCAACTCTTATTGCTTTTAGATATTTAATAAGGAGAGTAATACACAGAGGAATAGTCATGCTGCTTTCAAAGCAAGGATCTATAGCCGATCTGAATCTGAGTGGGACTAATGACCCCCTAACAGCATGATGCTGTACCTCACACACTTTTGTTCTTTGGCCAAAGAGCAGCGTATGGAGATTATGCAGAAATAAGTAAAGAAGCCGATGAACTAGCTGTCCTGTAGGGAAGAAGATCTAAAGACTGCATTCTGGCATAGCTAATGAGCCATGGCTATTGCTAATAGGTGCAACACTCCTGAGAAGAAACCAGGCTCGGGTTGGTGAGAATGTGTACTGGTTCCTTTCTTTGACCGAGAAATGCCAGAGCATCTCACGTGCCAGCCCCAAGAAAGAGGACACTTACCAAGGTCCTGTAGTCAGAATGTGAAGGGGGTGGGGCCCTCCACCAGGAAATGAGGTCAGAGTAGGTGATGTTCTGGTGGAGGTCATTATTTTAAGAGCTTAAAGTCATTCCAAGACAAACGCACTGCCATTAAGTCCATTGTGTCTCTTAGAGGCCCCATAGGACAGAGTAGAACTGGCCCTTTGGGTTTCTGAGGCAGTGACTCCTTAGAGGAGTAGAAAGCCTCGTTGTTCTCAGGGAGCAGCTGAGGCTTTCCAACTGCGGACACCACCAGGACTCGTACAATGTTCAAGCAAAGATTTTGCCTCACTTAGGAGAGTTTGCATTACCGGATTGGAATGTTCGCTTTTCATGCTCTGCTTGATATTTCTTGAGACATTCAGGCTAAAAGGATATCGCGAGGGGAGAGAAGAGGGCCACCGTGTGCTGTGTTGTCTCTTGAGTGTGGGTCAGGGCTACACCCAGTGCCGGGGTCCTGAGCAGCCGGCAGAATGCCTGGGTGATGTCAATGGCTGGCATGCTCGTGGCTGGACCAAAAGGCGCTGATTTGAGCCCACTCAGAGGCACTTCAGAAAAAAGACCCACCAATCTATGCCTGGAAAACCAGGGCTTCACCACCCTGTAAAGGACAGTTCTCCTTGCACACACATGAGGTTACCATGAGTCCGAAATGGACTGGAGGGCAACGGAAAGGAAGAGAAGTTGCAGCCATTGCTTTGTCCAGTTGGGGGCGCTAACCCCCGTGAGGCTATGGAGCACTGGAAATGTGACTGATTTCGAATTATGTTTGCTGTACGTAGATCAATTTTGAAGACTTAATATGATTTTAAAAAGCTGTCGTATGAATAATGGTTTGTATTTACTATAAATTGAACTGAGAGTATTGTTTATATAAGGGGTTGAATAAAATGTTATATTAAATTTTCTTGTAATTTTAAGCCTGATTATGAGAAAATTTAAATTTACATATGTAGTTTTTATTATATTTTGATTGAACGGTGCTGATCTATCCGATTGTTAGAGGATTCGGATTCTTGTGATTGGGGTTCAGATGTTTACTATGATTATGCTGCCAGTGGGAGGCAGTAGAGCACAGGGGTTAAGAGACCGGGCTCCAAGTCAGGCAGCCAGTCTGCTTGTGCTCCTGACCAATGCTGGCACTTAATTGCTTCAAGACCTAGAATAGTAAGTAAAGTCTCTATCCTTTGTCCCTGGTGGCACAAGACCTAGAATAGTAAGTAAAGTCTCTATCCTTTGGCCCTGGTGGCACAGTGGCTAGGTGCTCGGCTACTCAGGGGTAAGTAGGCAGTGGTTCAAACCTCCTAGCCGCTTCTCAGTGGGAAAGATCTGGCAATCTGTCCCTGTAGAGATGACAGCCTACGAAACTCCACGGGGTCAGTTCTACTCAGTCCTACAGGCTTGCTCTGAGCTGGAATCAGCGTGGTGGTACACAACAACACACTGTGAAACAGAAAGACTAGGAGTACCTGCTTTATATGCCTGTTAGGATATGAAATGAATTAATGTATGTAAGACATATAGACCAACACCTGGCATAGTGTAAGGATTCAATAAAAGAGAGCCACTAGTCTTGTGTTCTTCTCCTTATTACTATTACTACAGTAAATGTAACCATCTTCCTTTTCTACCCTTAAGACTTCAAGGACCTAGAACTTGTAAGTTGGAACCTCTGGATGCAACATCCAGATGACTTGGGATTTCCTGGCCAGGAAGCATCCCCAGTTATCCTACCTTGACCGCCACGTGTCTCTTATTTTCCCAAAGCCCCTCTAGGGATGAGTGACGCTGAGAGAACTGCTCCGGGGCTGACTCTTCACATGGTTCCTTATTTCCTTCACAGGGTTTTCGTGGGGAATCCTGGGAATCATGAACTGCTCCTTCATCCTCCCTCTCATTTTCCCTCAATTTGACTCTTGCCGCCAACTGGCCATCTTGGGAACTCAATGCGTGATGCCCTCTGCCACCAGGGCTCCTATAGGGCCATTATGAGCCAGAATGAACTAGATGGCGGAGATAGGTATGGTTTTGACTCTCCCTATGGAAAGGAGCCCTGGTGGCCTGTGGCCGGGCATTGCACTGCGAATCACAAGGTCCCCGGTTCAGTTGGCACCCGCCAGCTCCTCTGAGGAGAGAGATGAGGTGAGACTAAGCTCCCGTAAAGATTTAGTTACAGGTGCCCGAGCGATGGGGTCCCTCCGAGTCAGAATGGACGCATCGACAGTGGGTAGGATTCGCTAAGGCACATGCATAATAAGAAGACATCAGGGTGTCTGAGTGTGCGCTGAGGGACGGCATGTCAATGTGCTGGCCAGACTGTGTGGAAGAATTAAAAACAACAGTTCAGGAACGGCTCAGGAATGACGAGGTATGCCAAAGGTATGCTTGACAGGGAGTGGGGGAGGAGGGCGGCAGCTGGGGGTGTTGAGTCAGCAAGTTTGTTTTTGTTGTTTGAAACAAATTCTTCCAATAAAATCCATATTATAAGGAACAATTTTAAATTTCAGGATAACTTGATAAAGCTGTGGCCAGTCACAAACATGGCACAGTTAGAAGGTTTTGACTTCATAAAACACACGACGAGGAGGTACATTTTTGGTATGAAAGGAATTGTTCCTTGTAGAGCTGGATTCTAGGAACAACATAGGGCTTTCTACTCCCATCAAGAGTCAGCCTTGGGAACTCCCAGGGGCAAGTCTCCCGTCCTATGGGGTCACTATGAGTTGGCATTGGCTCCATGGCTGTGAGTTTGAGTTTGCAGACAGCAGCTTCCACCGGAGGCTTCCTTAAGCGGTGCATTTTACATATGCATTTCAAAGAAGGTGATTTACCTGAGATTTTTTTTAAGGCAAGTCTCAAGGTGCACCGTGCCTGCCTGAGCTACAAGGCCAAGTTCACAAACTTTCTGGAGTTGGTTGTGTTGGGCTGACCCCTTTCTCCCACATGCTCTCTGCAATTCCGTATTCTTTTCATCATGTTTTCTTGCTTGGTTTACAATGTGCTTTGGGTTACCTGTTTGCTTTTAAAGAGCTATCGGTTTGATACCCTTGGTTTCAAATTTAGGATCCAATTGCTGCCTTTTCTAAGCACACTGACACTCAAGCACATACAACAAAACCCGGCCGTCTAATAGCCTGCCTTGCTGTTTGTGATGGTCTGGGACAGAATTTTGGCTCCAAGCTTTCGGAAGAAAGAAAGATCAGGTTATTGACAAGATATGCTGAGGGCTGATTTAATGCAGCTGCCATTTTTCCAGGCAAGATTTCAGGGACCTATCCCTTTAAGGGACAGAACGGGAAACAATTGAAGAGTCACTTAGGGTAGTTTAAAAAATGTAGAGTCCTGACCCACACATCTGGTCTATGGGCTTAGCAGAGAGGCTTGTTTTTCTCTTAACAACAAAACAAGCTCCCAGTCTGATGCCAAGTAAAATTTGAGAATTTCTAAATAAAAGTATTTTTGCCAATATTTTCTTCTTTGCCTAACATAAACTTGGCACTTATGAATATGAGACTGGTTTTTATTTGAGTACTTCTGGAGCTCCAAGCAGACTCCAGCAGTGGCATGGATGCCAATATGCAGAAGCCACGGGCTCTGTGGTAGCCTTCAGAGATCGCATCCTTACTCATTTGCTGATGAATGTCTTTTCCGATCAGCACTAGCCTGTCCTGCTCCATCCCTGCAGGTTGTGTGCTGTGTTATACTTGCACGACTCCACTTCATCCTGAGTCAACCCCGAGAGGAGAAGTTACTATTGTGTCCTCTACTGAACAGTTGAAGAAAAAGAGAGGCAGAGGCAAGGATCTTCAAGCATGCCAAGCAGTCATTAAACAGTACAGCAGGATTTGAACCAAGGTGTGTCTGATTCCAGACTCATTCTGTTAAAAGATTGTGCTTCTCCCTGATAACCTTTTCTAAGGATTCTTCCTCTGACACCTTTCTACCATTCAGGGGCCATGGTAAACCAACAGGAAAAGATGATTGGTGCAAGTACAATCCATCTTGCTATCTGGTCTGATTTACAAACATTGGAAAATATTAAACCTTGTCACAAGTTTCTTTCCATATTTGAGAAGGTATAGGTACTCCATCAGAAATTTGGAAAGGTCTTTCCTGGCAAGCTACCCAAAGCGCCTGTCCGCTTGTTTTCTCCTCTCTGGAGCAGTATCAGTTGCCATGGACGACGGAAAACGAACCACCCACCTTTCTCGTTGATGCTGTGCACGACGGCTTTCCCCTCGTTATCTGTAGTTATTAGGAATGTAATGAGGCATTCATTTTCTCCTTGCAGAGAGCAGAACACAGAACTATCCTTTGAGAAATCTGCAGATAAAGGAGTCATTCACTAGGTTAAATGAGATTCCAATCGAGATTATCTTTCAAGCAAAGTCATATTGCGTCTTAATATACATATGGGAATTTTCCACATTGCAGAACAGGCAGGAGGAGAAATGGCATAGGATGTTTCCCACCAAGTGAGGTTTTCATCCTTACTCATGTTCCACATGAACCATTCCAGATGGGGCCAATCAGGACTGATCATCAAATGCACCTACCTGATAGGGGGAGGGTTTCTGAAGCATGAGAATGTTTCAAAACAGGAACCCACACCCATCTTGGGAACAGAGTGGTCCTGCTTAAGGCAGGGAGGTGGCTCTGTGTTTTGGGAGACTACCTGGGAGGACCCCTGGACTGAATTTCAGAGAGACGACCCATTCTAATCGGGTCTGTTCTGTAATGGCATGGGCAAGGTTGCTGGTCATCGTGGTAACGGTTAATATAAATTCTTCTCGGGAAACCACAGAATAAAAAAGAAAGCCCAGATTTCAGGGAACTCGGGAAGCCATGTAAGAAAACTCTTTTCTTCATTAAACATAAAAACAGAACCATTTTCCTCAACTCTTTTCCAGAGACAGTCCCCTCCCTGGCCTCCCTTGTTGAGCTTGTTCAAGAGTCAAAACTTGAATGCCATGACAGAAAGTGGAAATAAGGAACAAGGCCAAGGTGAGGTATATAGACTAGTAGTCAGAAATTGCGTGGTCTAGCGCCCCTGGCAAGCTTAGGTAGCATTTTCCCAATGTATGTAACTTCTGCACAAAGACTTGTTCATGAAACTTTAAAAACTACATTTTCAGAAACTCGTAACTAGACCATCATTTGTTCACTTAAAAGTGTATTCATGAGTTATAAGAGGTCAGAATATAAAAACTAGGATTGTCCCAGATGACCTTAGGCATATGTTTGCTATACCTATAACCTCTCTAGTTGGCTTAAGATTAAAAAAAAGTTCCAAGTATAATAGGCTTTGTGTGTGTTTATCTGATTTTAACAAAGAAAAATGAAATAAAAGGTGATTTTTGGTAGCGAAATCCCATGGCCATAAAAGCTCAGGATACAGTGTGTGGGAGGTTACATCTTGTATCAGCTACAAAAAAGGGATGTGTAAAACCTTTAGCAGTGCAAGTAGGTTTTATGAGAAAGTCAAGTGAACAAGCTAGTGTTGCTATTCCCAAAGAAATAATTATCAAAAATACATGATTATCCAAAAACATATAATTGATTTAAAAAATTGCCCCCCAATAAATCAACGAATAAAATGATCCATTTCTGTGGAGTCGCTTCTGACTTCCTTCCCCGGAGTTTCTGATGGAAACGTTCAGAGGTCCATCTCCAGGCCTTTCTTCTCGGTGAACCTATTAGTGGCTTAGTGGTTACTTGTTGGGCTGCTAACTGAGAGGTAAGCAGTTCAAAACCACTCAAGGCCCCGAGGTAGAAAGACAGAGCTTTCTACTCCCATTAGGAGTCACAGTCTCAGAAACCCATAGGGGCAGGTCTACCCTGTCCTACAGGCTTGCTAGGAGTCGGCATTGACATTAAGACTGTGAGGGTTTTTTTCCCCCTAGGGGGTCACGAGGTGTTGGAACAGCCTCGGTGGCAGTGGATTTGGTTTGGGGTTTGGAACACTAATTAGAAATCGTTCTTATCTGCTCCTCCCCAACTGATAATGATCATCTAATTGACCGTGGTGTTTGGAATATTGAGTCTAGGGATCCACCTCTGGGTGATGGAAGAGGTCAGTGGTACACATGTGCTTTTAATGAGTTGTTTAGTATGTGATTCTATGGTGATTCTGATGAAGAGGTTTGGGAACCTTTGGGACACAGTTGGTTTTGAAATTATTTTGGCAAGACTTGAGATTTGTGTTATTTCATATGTTTGGCAGTACCACATTGCACATTTAATTCTCATTTCATGCCACTTTTAGATGGCCTTCCTGGCATTAATCCCTTCTATCCCACCATTGCAATTCACTAGGATCCATGACGCTCTTGGCATTGAACTTCTGCTGGTAATGTCTTTTCTTCACCTTCTCTCTGGCAGTGCACATCCACTCTGTTCATCTAGCCCATTTTTAATGCCACATTTAATTCTCAGGTAGCAAATATGTAGATTGTCTACAATATGGCTTTCGATGTAATATTCATGTTCCTTTTTTATTTCTCTTAAATAGATGCATGGGAGCAGAGGGCGCCTTACTGCACTCAGCCAGGATGATTTCAGTTTTAATGCAACTGCTAATGTGACCTTTGAGTCATGATTCCCGGCTTGCTTTAATTACTTCCCCACTCCTTTTCATTAATGTTACAACTCTAGATGTGGCCTGTTTTGTAGTGTTTGGGTATTGAAATGGCATTATTGAATGTGCAATGAAAGGGCCCAGCTTGGGCTGCAGATTTGCATAATTAGCCACTAAGTTTTTCTTTTGTGGTTCATTAAGAAGGGGAAAAAAAAAGACTTTTTTTTTTTACCCACCGTTGTGACTGCCAGCAGGGTGGTTCTAGAATAATACACTGAAAATAAGATCTCAAGCACTCCATGAAATCCTACTCCCGGAAGAAAGAAATGTGAGAACAAGGGCGAGGGAGGTGGGGTCTAGGATGTCTAGAAAAAACAAAACCAAGAAACCCTAAATTCATTGCCTCTAGTGGATTCCAACTAACAGTAACTGTGTAGGACAGGGTAGAGGTGCCACCAGAGCCCTGGCAGTATGGTGGTTACAAGTCGGGCTGTGAACCTCAAGGTCAGCAGTCTCTGCCACTCCATGGGAGAGAGACACTTTTGTGAGAACTGCCCCCCGGGGGCTTTAGAGAGTGTAACTCTTTACAGATGTAGGAGAATCAAACACCTTTGCATCATTGAGTCAAGATGGGCATTTGTAGGAGATGCCGGCTCAGGGGCTATGCCAGCAGTTCTCAGGGAAAATGGTTTTTCAAGAAAGAAAGAAAAAAAAGAAAAAGAAAAGAAGAATATGGGATCAAGTACATATGAGAATCCCTCCTAATTCTTCCCCAAGCTTTTCTTAAAGATTCACGATGTACATTCAACCCGATGTGCACAGCAACTCTCTGAAGTTCTGCAATGACAAACCACCCAAAGTAAAATAGAGCATCTCTCCTTTTTCATTTCCAAGATTCATAGGTCAATGCGTGTTATCATCTTTCTTTTCTTTTTCTCCCCCACACTTTCAGAACTAGTTTTCCGTGGGGCACTCTGTGTCACTCTGCTAACCCTGTCAATTCTGAGTCACAGAGACCCTGTGAGCTAGGCTGCCAGCCACAAGGTCGGCAGGTTGAAATCACCAGTTGCTCTGAGGGAGAGAGACGAGGCTTTCTACTCCCATAAAGAACTGCAGTCGCAGAAATCCACGTTGGCAGTTTTACCTTGCCTTACCTTGCCCTAGAGCAGCGGTTCTCAACCTGTGGGTCGCGACCCCTTTGGGGTTTGAATGACCCTTTCACAGGGGTCACCTGATTCATAACAGTAGCAAAATTATAGTTATGAAGTAGCAACGAAAATGATTTTATGGTGGGGGGGGGGGCGTTCACCACAACATGAGGAACTGTATTAAAGGGTCACTGCATTAGGAAGGTTGAGATCCACTGCCCTAGAGGGTGGCTGTAGTCCATTAAGTCATACGAGTCCATGAAGATTGGGGTAAACTGGAAAACATGTTTCTTTCAGTAAAATAGAATGAGTAAGGCTATCCCACATGTTGTCTAACAGACCCCATGCTGCACACATAAGCCACCACAGGCCAACTGAGGAGCAATTTAGATGGACTATAACATTAAGATGGCTTAATTATTTTACTCTCCATGTGCTTGTTGGCAGAGGATCTGTCGCTAAACGAGCTTGTGGAAGAACAAACATGTCATGCTCTTCTCAGTGAGGCCCATTGGGAATACCTGTCCACTGCCATCAAGTCCACTCTGACCCGTCATGACCAGAGAAAAGGTTTCCCAGGTTGCCAGTGTTTACAAGAGCAGGCCGCCTCCTCGATCTCCTACAGGGTGGTCAGTGGTTTGAACTGCCAACCATGTGGTTAGCAGTCTCATGCCTACCCAGGCTCCTTTGAAAATGGGAGTCATAAAAAAGATTCCGTGGAGAAGTGACTTTTTAATCACAGGTGGATACATGTGTTTTTCACCCAGATAAGCAATTTAAATGCTATTAGTAATTGAATTAGTAGTTTCAATTTCTGAAAATAGTTATACCCCCCTATTTTAAAAGCAACCTCACCAATTATATAAAATGAATAGTGCAAACATTTTAAATACCAAAGGAGACTTAGGCATCCCTTTCCGGTTCAAGCATTTATGATAATGAACTGGAAGTCCGTGCTTCCCACAGAGCCAGCTCCCAGTGCAGGTCATCGTGCTGGACATGTTCTCGGGAGAGGACCTCACCTTTCCTTCCCCTCTGCCCCCCACTTCTAGGGGATTGGGTGATAGTAATCCGCAGGGTGTTTTCTGCCATTTTTATCCATTCAGAAATGTCTATAACTGTCCCATCTGCTGGCGATGCAGTGAACTGGGAGGCTATGGGAAGACTCGTACTTGTTCCTCATAGGGACAGACTACAAATGCCACCTGCCTTTGTGCTTTTGACACAGCCCACCTTTGGTCTTAGTGTAAGATGTATGCCATCTTGTCAAAGGTCCCGCCATTTGGCATATTGACGGTAAGCACCAGAAGAGCAGAGACCCTGGTTTTAGGAGCGATAACCAGGCGCCTCCAATGGGATCACTTCACTGGGAGATTATTGGAAATCTCCAAGTAATTTTCTAAACAATATAAATGTCACTACCTTATTCCATTTTGGAAATGGAATAATTTCTGTATTCTAATTCCATCCACCTAAGATACATATCCTAGAGTGTCATCAATTATTGTCCTGATTATGTCATTCGCCTGAGAGGCATCTTGATCGTGTCTCTAATGCCCGCGGAGCAGCAGTTCTACCTGAGCAGCATGATAATGCAGCGCTTGTGATTAGAGAACAACATCCCCCCCAGATGGTCCCTCCAGGAAGAGCCAGTCATCGCCTCTGTTTAAAGTTCACAAATTATTTTTTAAATGGCCTTCCCAGCTAGAAGACAATCTATTTTAATATTTGAGATGACATTTTACCATTAGAGAGAATCCGATTTTAAGCAATTAAGTTTAAAATGACAGACAAAAGCAGGGCAGCGTTTGTTTAGCAATTAAAGATAACATGTCCTTCTTCGTGAGGCTCCCTATTCTCCTAACGATTATGGCCCTGGATCTGCAGAGGGGCGGCTCTTCCCCGTCTTACGGTGTCAAGAATCAGCCTGGACTCAACAGCACTGAGTTTGTACATTTGGCAGGTGGGACAAGGGAATTGATGATGCCTCGATGCCCATGTTTGGAAGATTGGTTGTAAAATCAAATGGTGCAGATGGCATGGAAAATGGTTACGAACAAAAACTGCCTAGTATCTGAGGTCTGCTATTAAGAAAACCATTTCCACTCCCCGCCCTTCCCCTATCTTGAAAAAAGGCAATCTTGTTCCATTGTCTTCCAACGTCAGTGTTCTCAGTTTTCTACAATTTGAAATCTGTTCAGCAGAGGTGAGCTTGGCAACATAGCTGAAGTCAGATGGAGCAGCCAGGACTTTACATCGCACTCCGAAGCATCAAGTTTGGGCCTCCTCACACCTACTCTTACAAACATGTGAGCGAGCCAAGGTCCTCTAACAAATGAAGTCAACCAATAGAAAACCCCTGGCTCCCAGAGTTGAGCCTCTCAAGCGCTATGTAAAATAAATGAAAAGTAATTTAAGACAAGTTAGAGATACCTTCTTCTTCACCGATGGTCACACCAGCTAGCTTGCATTTGTCAACACATTCTTCTTGGGACTGGCCATCCGCAGACAAGTGGCATTCAACGCAGCTCCTGTGAACATTATTCAACAGAGTTTATCAGTTCATGTAGATTGAAAATGGAAGAGTACATTAATGCTGCCATTGAGGGCCGAGCTATAGGAACGTCACATAGGTTCCACCACCTTCTGTTAGTTTGGAAAGATGGCTGGTGATGCCCTAAAGGAAACGGCTTCATTGTGCACGTCACTCAGTACTTTATGTGTTTGCATTTCCCAGAACCGCCCTGATGATCTCACTCCAAAACTCATTGCCATCGAGTGGATGTCTACGCACAGCCACCATGTAGGACAGGGTAGAACTGTCCCTGTGGGTTTCCGAGACAGTAGCTCTTCGTAGGAGTAGGAAGTCCCATCTCTCTCCTGTGAAGTGGCTAGTGGTTTCCAACTGTGACCTGGAAGTTAACAGCCCAGCCAGCATGCAACCACTCTGCCACCAGCGCTCCATGAACTACTTACTTATTTGTGTTTGATGGGCTATGTAAAGCAATCTGACTGAGTTATAGTTGCATTTTACATTTTTCCTAGAAAGAATTTACACTGCTGAAGAATGATTAGAGACTAGAATCTCATTACAGAATTTGGTCTATATTTTAACAAGAATTCCTAACACTGATTATTGGTGTTCATAGATGTCATATATGATTATTTTGACAATTCACTTTTTTAAATTAATTCTTTTGTCTGAGCTCAAGCCATTCTAGTGGATTTTGGAAAAGCTGAGAATAAAAGGCCAGACATTCATTCATACAGGCTCTTTAATGAAAATGAATGAATGAATGATACAAATAAGACAATAATGAAGTTAATTTTTTTACACGTAAACTCGTTTTATTCTTTTTTTTAAAATCCACACATCCATCCATTGTGTCAAGCACATTTGTACATTTGTTGCCATCATCATTCTCAAAACATTTTCTTTCTACTTGAGCCCTTGGTATCAGCTCCTCATTTTTCCCCTCCTCCCCGACCCTCCCTTCTTCACGAACACTTGATAATTTATAAAATATTTTTGCATGTCTTGCACTGTTCAATGTCTCCCTTCACCCACGTTTCTGTTGTTCATCCCCAAGAAGGGAGGGGGTTATTTGTAGATCATTGCGATTGGCTCCCTCTTTCTCCCCCACCCCCCTTTCCCTTACCCTCCTGGTATTGCTGCTCTCATTATTGGTCTTGAGGGGTTTATCTGTCCTGGATTCCCTGGGTTTCCAGCTCTTATCTATACCTCTGGACATGCTCTGGTCTAGCTGAATTTATAAGGTAGAATTGGAATCATGATAGTGGGGGCGGGGGTGGTGAGGAAGCATTAAATAACTAGAGGAAAGTTTTATGTTTCAATGTTGCTATACTGCACCCTGACTGGCTCATCTCCTTCTCATGACCCTTCTGTAAGGGGATGTCCAGTTGCCTACAGATGGGTTTTGCGTCTCCACTCCGCCTTCCCCCTCATTCACAATGATATATGAGTTTTTGTTCTTTGGTGCCTGATACTTGATCCTATAGACACCTTGTGATCACACAGGCTGGTGTGCTTCTTTCATGTCGGCTTTGTTGCTTCTCAGCTAGATGGCCGCTTATTTATCTTCAATCCTTTAAGACCCCAGATGCTATATCTTTTGATAGCCGGGCACCTATCAGCTTTCTTCACCACATTTGCTTATGCACCCACTTTGTCTTCAGCGATCGTTAGGAAGTTGAGCATCATGGAATGACAGGTTAATATAACAAAGTGTTCTTGTGTTGAGGGAGTACTTGAGTAGAGACCCAATGTCCATCTGCAACTTTAATACTAAACCTGCAAATATGTATACATAGATCTATTTCCCCATTGTCATATATAAGTATATTTACATATATGTACATGCCTGTATTTAGACCTCTATAAATGTCTTTTGCCTCCTAGTTCTTTCCTCTATTTCCTTTTACTTTTCTCTGGTCCCACTATCATGTTTGGCCTTCATTTGGGTTTCAGTAATTCCTCTCGGTTATATTGCCCTTGATCAAGCCCTACCAGGCCTCTTACTCTCCTTGCCATCACTTTTAGATCACTTGTTGTCCCCTTGTCCCTGGGTTTGTTAACACCACTTCCTTTCCCCTGCCTCCCCTCTCCCAGGTCCCCTTGGAAACATCCGTCCTGTTGCTTTCTCCTCCAGCTTGTTTATCATGCCTATCTTATCTAGATAGACCTGGAGAGATAATAATATACACAAAAAACAAGAGAGGGCAAAACAAAGAAACAAAAGAAAATAAAACACAACAACAAAAACCAATGACAAAAAAAAAGCAAAAAAAAAAGCCTGTAAATAGTTAGAGGTCTGTTTGTTGACCTTTAGGAGTATTATTTGGTCCAGTCTGATGGGGTGCCACGCCCTGGTCCCAAAGTCTATTTCTGGTATTTCGTGGGGACTTCCTTGCTCTGCTCCCCTTGCTGTTCTGTTGCATGCTCTTAGTGTTTTGCCTTGGTGTGGTGGGGTCAGATCAGGTGCAATTCCTGAACTGTGTCTCCAGGGTTGTTTCCCCGTAGCGCTATTGGTTAGTGAGGGATGATGTGTCTGGTAGTGGGGCTGGCTCGATGGTCCTCTCTGTGCATTGGCTGATCTGAGCAGGAATATTGTCCTCAGGGCTTGGTGGGCCAGGATGTGCTCCACTCTCTCTACTCCCCCTTCATTTGCTCCTACATGGTCTGATCAGACATGTCCCTCTCCCTGAGCTGTAGCTTCAGTGCTGTCCTCTGAAGTCAATTCTTCTGCTGGGAGGGGGGCTGTCCACATAGTTGGGATTGGGGCTGGCCCCTCAGACTGAAGAGTTAAATTTTGACTCCAAAATTCATCTGTTGTGGGAAATCACTTCACAAATAACCTAAGTGGCAAACATTTTCTTAAAGAGGACACATAGTGCTGCCTCTCTCACTCTGATCATGGAGAGGTCCTTTCTTGCAAGTGCTTATAGCACCCCCACCCCTAGTCAAGACCCAGCTGACACTGCGCCTTCTTAGGAAAAGCCTTCTCTATGTCTGAGTTCAGTTAGTTCTCTTACAGGGGAAGCCTTGGGGTTCTGCAAGAAGACTGAAAGCAGGATCTGGTTGGGAGTAGAAATCAAAGACAGACATATACACATATCGAGATGATGGATTTATTTGGAATGGCTTTGCAGAGCTAGATGATAGAAGCCCTGGAAGCCTTGACCCCATTGTGCATCATCACTAATGGCTGCACTAGCCGGTTTGGTTGTTCTCGCCTCTGAAATGCTCTTCAGTTAACCAACAACAGCAAAACTTTGTTGTCAAGCCCACTCCCACACATGTGGCTCAGAGTAGAACTGTGTTTCCTAGGGGTTTCTTGGCTCTAGTCTTTATGCATGCAGATCACCAGCTCTTTCTTCTATGGCACTGCTGGATCAGTTTGAACTGAAACTGTTTTGGTTCACAGAGGGCCCGGGTGGCACCAGTGATTGGCAATACCAGGGAAATACTTCCTGTGTTTCATTGACTATGCAGTGGCATTCAATTGCATGGATCACAACAAACTATGGATAGCTGTGAGAAAAATGAGACTTTCAGATTACTGGATTGCACTCATATGGGACCTGTACATGGATCAAAAGGTGATAGTTTGAACAGAATAAGTGAATATGGAGTGGTTTGAAAGCAGCAAAGGTGTGTGTCAGGGTTGGATCCTCTCCCCATTCTTATTCACTTTGTATACGGAGCAGATATCATGAGAAGTTGGACCACAGGAGGAGCACAACATCAGGATTAGAGAAGAACTTATTAACAAGTGGTGGTGTGCAAATGACACAACCATTTTTGCTGAAAGCGAAGAGGACTTGAAGCGCTTGCTCATCGAGATCAATCACTGCAGCCTTCAAGATGCATCACCACGCAATGTAAAGAAAGCCAAAGTCCTCACGACAGGACCAATAAGTAACACCATGACAAATGGGGAAATGATCGAAGCTACCAAGGAATTTATTTTGCTTGGATCCACAATCAACGCTCATGGAAGCAGCAGTCAAGAAATCAAAGGAAGTGGTCTCCTCGACAAACCTGCTGAACAAGACCTCTCTGAAGTGTTGATGAGCAAGGGTGTCACTTTTACAATTAAGGTGTGTTTGACTCAAGCTACGGTATTTCAATCACCTGTCTTAAAAGAAGTACAGTCAGAATGCTCCTTGGAAGCAAGGATGGCCAGACTTTATCACATGTACCTTGGACATGTTGTCGGGAGAGAGCCATCCCTGGAGGACGTGATGCTTGGTAAAGTGGAGGGGCCTGGAGAAAGAGGAAAAGTCTCCCTCCATGGGATTGATTGGCACAGTGGTTGCTTGATGGGCTCAAACATAACAATGATCATGCGGAGGGAGGGAGCGGGACCAGGTAGGGTTAGTTCTTTTGTGCACAGGGTCGCTATGGATCAGAATTGGCTCCATGCCACCTAATGTCACCCCTCATTGAATAAAAGAATGCCTGAGCAAGTGAAGGAATGTAAGAATGGACTTAGCTCAAAATGAATATAAAAACCGAGAAGATAATTCTACTTGATTCTCCAAATTCATACTCCCTTGATTGTTAATTTTATATTTCATAAATCTGATTTAGGATCAAAATAAGACTGCAAGGGAAAAAAATTAAATTCTAGAAGCAGCAAATCTTGAAGGAATATTTTCCACTAAATCAGGTTCTAATAATCCTAACTAGGTCCCGGGTTTGTTGTTTTCTTTGAATGTCTTCATTTGCTAGGTTACCTCGACAGGGAAGTTTTGATTGATTTTTCTCATTCTGTTTAGAACCGAAATGCAAACGTCAGAATCAATGAAAACATGAACTACTTAAGCCTGTTTGCTGTACAGTCTACTATACACATGTGCTATCATAACATAGGCATTTTGGAAAACATTTGGCTTGACTTAGGAAAATTTCCCCCAATTCCACTGAGAAGCTACTGCCAAACTGATAGGAAATGTGGTCGTGGCTGTTGTTGTTGTTTCCAGGGTGCACACGAAGATACCAATACAGAAAAGTTGTGTATAACGAACGGCAGAAGACCAGTGCTGAAGGGCATGAGTGGTAAAAAGGAAAAGAGGGAAGGCCAAGATCATCTTTCTCAGTCCTTGCTTCCAAGAGGAGGATGAGGAATCAGAAAGCTCGGGCCAAAGACTCGTGGGAAAGAGAGATGCTGTTCTGTTTCCCTGGAGAGCTCTGCCTGCCGTGGGTGTCCTCAGTCTCCATGGAGGGCATTCTCACTGTGTGGCTGGTGCCGTAACCCAGAGGCCTATGTTATGATAGCACATGTGTGTAGTAGACTATACAGCAAATAGGCTTAAGTAGTTCATAGTTTCATTGATTCTGACGTTTGCATTTCGGTTATCCGAAGGGTTCAGCAGCTCAACTTCCATGTGCTAGTCTCTCCCAGACATGGGACGTTGCGGGCCTGGAGAATCGGCAGGGGAAAAGCTGAGGTTCGGGGTGGTGGTGGGTGGGTGGGTGGGTCACAGGGGCCCTGCAGGTTTGTGCGTTTTAATGGGTGCTTGGAGCGCCAGCCCCAGCAAAAACATCCTGGGGTCTGAATTCATAAAATGGCTCTGAAGTGGAAACTCCCCACAAAAGGGACTAGAGCTAGCAGAGAGATTACCTTTTAGAGTTACAGGGGTCCCCACAGGTAGGGCAGCGCTCACAGGCTGGCCCTGAGGCTCCGGGGTTCGTGCACACACACTTGCCGCAAACGCAGTCCCCTCGCGCACTGCAGAGCACCCCGTCTTCGGAGAGGCAGGAGTCGGTGCCCGTGGTACAGTTACAGTACTCGCCCGTCCAGCCGCCTTTGCACGCGCACTCGCCACACTCACACTCGCCGTGACCTGCAAAACAAAGCACGCTTTGGTGGGCGTGGGGGCGGCGGGCCGCGGTCAGTGGGGTGTTTGGGGGGGGGGGGCCGTCTTTTCTTCTCGTTGCCTTTATTATTTTTTCCCCATTATACGTTATATTACCTTTATTTTTTTTCTTTAAATCATTTCATGAGGGGCTCATACAACTCTTATCACAATCCCTACATACATCAATTGCTGTCCAGCACATTCATACATATGTTGCCATCATCATTCTTGTTGCCTTTAAATATCATTCATAAAAAGATTGAAATAAGAAGTGAGTGTCGGGGGTGGACGTGTGTGTCCGTGGGTGAGTGTAGATAAACTTCATGAAATGTGTTTTGCTAGCTATCAATATTTATCCATCTTACCTTTTAGTTGAAGACTAACTGATTTTCTAAGGCTATAGCAAACAAAATGTATGATCCAATGAATGAAAAGTATCCAGAAAGCCAATAGTAGCTATTTGATGTGTGTGTGTGTGTGTGTGTGGCGTGCGCGCGCACATGTGTGTACGTGTGTGCACACACGCTGAATGAACTAAAGTGTCACGGGTAGAGTTGCTTGGCAGACCTATTTATTAATATCCTACCTTTCTATTCAAAGGTGGGAGAAGATGAGGCTGTGTGCTCTCAGACAGCCTTGCAGCCTCAGAAACCGTAGCTAGCGTTGCTATGAGCCAGTCTCAACTCAACAGGAGTGCGTAGGTCCGGGGTTTACTCTCACTGGCCCAACCTAATTCGCTGCCATCGAGGCAACGCCACTCAGAGCAACCCCTGTGGTCTTCTGCGACTGTAACTGTTCACGGGGATAGAAAGCCCGGCCTTTCTCCTGAGGAGCTGCTGGGGCTTTTGACGTGCCAACCATGTGGCTCACAGCCCAAATTGTAGCCCCTACACCATTATTTCACTAGAGTGATCTTGAACGCCTTGTCAATAAAATAGAATAAAATCGATTTTCAAGAGCTCTGGTCAGGTTAGAGAGATCATGAGTATGAGTCTAGCTTTGCACCTACCAACGAGCTGTTTCAAAGGCATCTCATTATGTCGCACGCTTCCACTCAGCATAGACCCCGTGCACAGATGTACTGAACACCCCAAGACCCGTCCGTTGCCATGGAGCTGCTGTGACTCCCAAGCCCCTGCAGGACAGAGATCTGCCCCCTAGGGTTTGGGAGGTTGTAAATCTTTATGGAAGCAGCCTGCCTCATCTTTCTTCTGTGGATGCAAACTAAAAGGAGACTATCTTTGCTCAGTTTATAATCTCTCGTAAAGGATCGACACATAAATAAACATCTAAGCCATAATCAGGTGTGCTAGATGCTCTGTGAACAGGCAAGAGTTTCTGAGTCAGACTGGAGATCTGAGGACGTTCTCACCCACAGGAAGTGAGGCCCGGATTAAGAAGGTGGGGAGAGAAATCTAGAAGACAATACTGGCTTATGTGCATTCCAAGGAGAGGTTAACAGTAAATTAGAAACCTGGAAGCCTGCAATCATGAAACCAGCTTACATAACCAATGTAGTTTCTTCATATAAATCCCAAGCCCACTGCCATCAAGCTGATTCTGACTCACATGGCTGTAGATAGGGTGTCTGAGCCTGGAAAGCCTAACAGGGGCAGACACTAGTTTTTTTATTTCACGGAGAGGCAGGTGGGTTTGAACTGCCAGTCTTGCAGTTGGCAGCCCAATGCCTAACCTCAGAGCCACCATGGCACCTTACTCATAAGAAGGCATTATTAGTAGCTGCTTTATATAACTGGAACTGACTCCAGAGCAATGAGTTTGCCTTCATAGAAATCGTTATGAGTATTACCTGAAATAATATATCAGTGTCCGGAACCATTCCTTGCCTAAAAATAAGTCCCTTACAATTGTGAGTTATTATGCTTTTAAAAAATTATCAAGTTGGAGAATTTGTTAGCCAAATGATTTATCAGAGAATTAGGCATAGAGTCAAATCTCAAGCATTTAAGAAATCAAAAGTCAAGTAGTTTTCCACTTCCACAAGTCAATGTGGTGTTTCTGTAGAAGGAAGAACGCTGGGTTTCCCTGCAATGTTGTGTTCCCGGTGCTTTGCGTGGGGTTCCCTGTGCAGCAGAAGGAACACGGCCTGGTCCTGAGGATCGAGGGCAGAGAGGGAGGGGGGTAGTTTTCCATCTTCCTAATAGGGTCCTGGGAGACCCGGATCAGGCTCGTCCCAGCTTAGTACTCTCATTGCTCAAAAAAAACCCATACAAGAAATGGTAACCATACAATCCTGAAGCTGGCTTCTATTTTTCCAAGTTTTATATATCTTCATCTATTATCTTTCAATTCCTCTTTTCCACAAATTTATTAAAGCCCCTGAATGGAACTAAAAGATACTGACTTTTCCCCACCTCTAAACTTTAAAAATATATATCAAACAAGTTGCTTTTGAGTGGATTCAGATGTCAGAAGAGAACTGCTGCATGGGACTGGAAATGACTGGTTTCCAGGGAGGGATCACCAGTCCTTTCTTCTGAGGCACCTCTGATGGAGGAAGCCTCCATCCTTTTGGCTTGCATCATTCACTTAACCATTACCACCCACGGATGTATATGCGTCTCTTTATCATTCTCACCATTTTCAATTGTCATATTCTTTAAGGTCACTGTAATCCCTGACTTAGGGAAGATAGCAAATATTGAACATACGGGTAGTACAAGGTCATTGCAAGTCTGTAGTCACAAATGTTTGCCATCTGATTAATACTGAACAACAACAACAACACAACAGACAAACTCACTGCCCTCGAGTCAACTCTGACTTATAGTGACCCTCTAGGACAGGATCGAACTGCCCCTGTCAGTTTTGGAGACTAACTCTTGATGGGAGTAGAAAGCCCCGTCTTTATCCCGAGGAGCTGCTGGTGATTTTGAACTGCTGACCTTGCGGATCCCAGCCCAGTGCATAACCGCTACTCCACGAGGGCTCTCACCCACTGATGTGCACACTTGTTTCATGAGGTCGTCTACTTAAAGACAACTCATTTAATATATATCGCATCATTGAATTTCTGGCCCAGAGCACTATCGCTCCTGTTTGAGAGAAGCATACTCTAATAGCTGTACTTCCTCCACAAGGCACATCACAGCCTTCTAGTGCTTACGAGCAGCAGACAGCACTTGCTCACTACACTTACGTCTCATTTTACGCAGCAACATTACAATGACAAGCATGAAAATGGGAAAATGTCGCACTAAGTAGATCATAAAACAGACGCTTGTTTATAGCCTGAGTGGAAACAAAAAGGCAGCCTGTCGCCTCGTACGACCTTAGCTACGGGGGTGTGTGTTGGGTGACTCAAATTTGTCACTGCTCTGTGTTGGTCTACAAAAGACCACAAAAAAGAGTGGTTTGGTTTTTTAAAGACAGTTTAGTAATAGATTAGTAAACACAAAATCTGGGCATAATGAGGATCAAATGTCGATACTAAAAAGCCAGATCTTGGTCTAATGAAAGATACGAGTTGAAATGGATCTGAATCCATGACTTGAAGACATATGAGCACTTAAACTGCATCTCAAATTTATATAATTCATAATTTGGTTAATTCACTCACAGCTCAGAATTATTAAGTGAGTTGGGCCTGAACCGTTAATATAACACTTGTCTGTAAATGATCCTATGAAATACAATTTCTTTATATTCCTTTCTCAGTAAAAGGACACCCTGATTTTCATTTGTGTACATGATACAAAATAAACTGAAAAACCATAAATAACTAAATTAAATGGGCAGAACTGTTGCTAAACCAATTCACACTGTTTTAGATTGTTTTGATATAAGATTTAGAGCCCCCAATATAGGCGACAATAGTATTATTATTATGTTTTATTACATTACATGTAGGAATATTTTGAAAGGTAATCTCGAATGTTGTGAATACATAAGTTATTATAAAATGTATATTAGAAATGCAATCTGGGTTGCTATCAGGTTCTATACACTTTTGATGTTATGTCCCCAGGGCCATCTGGCTTCTAGTCCCCTACAGATTGGCTGCCCTCCATGTCTTGTGAAAGAGGACTCCTGGGGGTTTGCAAATGCTCACAAAACTAGGAAAAGAGCCACCAATTGAAAAGGGAGAGAAATGTGTCTCAACCTAGACAGACCCGAGATTTCCATTTTGTAAGATAAAAAGAAAAAGGTGGCAAACAGAACAACCACAGTGAAATCACGAGGATGCTCACACATCACGAAGAAGAAAACCATGTCACTGAGCAGCGTGCGTAGAAATTGAAGGGGAGCCTACACTGCTGTGTAAACCTTTGGCGAAAACCACAATAAAACATTAGATAGATAGATAGA